CTACTGGCTGACATCCCACAGGTTCAGCGTGTGGGTGGTGTGAGTCTACCCTGGCTTGCAAAATGCCATGTAGAGCTACCCTCCAACAGCTGAGCCAGTTTGTTCACCCTGTTAATGGCTGCTTCTACATCAGTTCTTCAGGATCCAAGTGACAAGCTGCATCATCACAACCCCATTTTTGTCTAAGGCAGTAGATAAGGTTTTCAATCAGGACAAACTCCTCCTCCCTTACTATAAAAAGTGGAAGCTGTGAAAGGCAGTCCTGCACACTACCAAGTATTGTTGGGCTTTAGTTTTGCTGTTAAATTAATTATGTAGACAGGGTGCCTACAGCTTTTCATCTCTACTCAGAAGAAATAAAGGATTAATATGAACACTGTGGGCAGGTCTGTGGGTTTTTTACTGATCTGTTTTGTAGAGTGAAAGGTCGAAAAGGAAGAAGGGAGAGTCAATGGAGAGAAATAGGCACTTCTGGAGGCAATTCAAAAGACCTAATTTGTGCATCTTCCTTAGTACGGGATGAATCACCCACTAGAGATCAGACAAACCGTCTGTTTCTGTTGACTATAACAGGAGCCTGGACAACCAGCTTAGACAAGAGATTGGTAACCCCCAACTTGTATGAGGGGCTTGATCAGCATTTCCACTAAGTTGTTTTAAGTACTGTTTACACGCTGGTAGTACATAGCCTTAAGTGCTGGGCTAATTTAGTGAAGGAATGGCTTGGAAGGGTATATCAAAACCTGTTCTGCTTGTCAGCTGAGCTATAATCATATCTCCAGTTTCTGGAGATGAGTCTTCTGGCACCTCCTTCCATATAAAGCTCTCCCTTTTTAAGTAGGAGTGAAACATCTGGCCAGGGATTTTGGTTGTCTAAAAATATAACATTTTTTAAATGCTTAATTATTGCTGTTCCTTTCCTTCAGCAGTTATGGGGTCCAACCCCTGCTAGTATCTGTGAGGAGCTTGTGTATTTGCCTCTGTTAAGACTGAGTTTCGGGTCTTTGGACCATATGGATTTGAGCTGAGATGATCAAGCAGATGGTTTTCTTTCCAGCACCACAGCACATGCAAAGTGTGGAAAGTGGCTAAAAGAGGGGTGATGCCAATGTGAGGAGCACGAGGACATGTCCACTGACGATTTTTTTTTTGTTGACTTAACACTAAGTTGCTTATGTCGATTAGATATTGCCCATGCATTTTTGATGGAGAATACCACAAGGCAGGCTGCCCAAGGCTGTGCCCAGAGACATTTTGATTTTTGAGGTTCAGGGGCTGAGTTGAAGTCATGAGAAGATGATGATCATAAGATGGGACCTTCAGATTAATGTCAGGTACTGTCTTGGGGCATGTATTATCAGTCATCGCAATTTACATGCTTAGGGCGTAACACTGAAAGAAGGTGTCTACTGACACCCTGTGCCTAAGCAGAGCTTGAGCCTTCAAGAACATTGACATGATGAGCAGGATTTCAGGTATGAGGGGAGGACACCAAGGTCATGAAGATGATGACAGTAGGTCAGTTGTCATTAAAGCTGGTGGTAACTCTCTATCTCAGTGTTGTTTTCCTGCATTATTGGATGTACACATATTTTACAAAACATCTCATAGTCAGCCTCAGAGTACAAATCCATATGAGACATCACCATCTGGGAAGGACTGAGGACCTTGTTGATCTGATGCTGTCCTGGTGTGTAAACATTGCCCTCTACAGCTGTGAGCTACTGATATCCTGAGAGGTTTCTGAGTGTTCAACTAGGTGTTGACAGGCTCATGTCACCACCAAGATCCCAACCAAGAACCCATGTGGACAGGGATGCTGAAGATGCATTAGATGCCACCACCTAGTGGGAGAAAAAAGTTGTACCACGGTGGTGTAGAACTGGTCTTTGTGCTTGCTCTCCCACTCCCTGACTGATGGAGTTTTGGGCTTGAGCTCCCTTTGCTGTGCAGATGTGGCCAGAACAAGAAGTTCCTTCCTGATTTACTTTGGCAAAAAGCTGTGAAATTAGTCAGGGCTACATCGTAGCACTGAAAAGTGTGGGCCTTCTATCTTCACTGCTGGGCCTCTTTCCAAAATTCCTGGCAATTAGAAGTAAATTAGTGAGCTGTGATTACCCTGGGAGCTACTCCCCTGGTGCCCACATGCAACCCCCCGTCTCCTGAAAGGGAGCTGCACCAAACACGATTGCTCTGATGTGAATACACTGAGTTCCACCAAGTGGAGAAGATCTGATGTGTTTTAAACCTGGAGACTCTCTGCTGTCGAATGACACACAAAAACTTTGTCTCCTGCAGCAATTTGGGTGGGATGAGATGAAATTGGGAGAGGAAGGCAGAGCTGACCTCTTAAACTACAGCCTGAGCTGGGCAGTTGATAACAGCCCAAGGGTTGCATCAGGGGGCATCATCTGCCTTTTGGGGACTCAGGGTCATCAGGGGACATCTAGACTCAGAGGTAAGGCTGATCCGGATGGATGAACCTTTCGCTATGTCTGGGGGTGTGAAAACTCAAGTTCAGAAGTTTTGCTTATCAAAGTGTATCTATGGGAGGAAAACTTTTGAAACCACCCGTGACCCTGTAGGCTCTAACCACAGCGAGGAAACAAAAGCTCCGAGCTAACTACTCCTTGCTTGAAAGGAGCCAAACTCTCCTTGCTAGCAGCAGGGTCAGGCAGAATGCTGTGGGATCACCCACCCCTGCTCAGAAGGTGCCAGAGGACCATCAAGCATCGTGGTACTTCGTCAGTGGGGCAATTCTATGGGAGACCGAGGAGACACAAGCTGGAAGCAGAAAATGAAGACAGTCAGAGCAGCTCCAGGCCAAGTACCCTCCTCCTGGGCTCCAATCCTGCTTTTCCAGCTGGGATTGCCACGGACTCTGCTTGTATTTAAGCAGCCAAGTGAGACACCCAGGACTTCAATCACTCCTGCTCTTCTGTGTGTAGGTGTAATTGATAGTGCTGTCAAGAACCTGCAATTAAGCTAGTTGTCTTTCCAGCTACTTCATACCATCAATTATCTCTCTTGCTGGGCTAGGGGCAGGCTGTTCCAGTGCAGAACATTTGCAAATAATGAGGTACGAGAAAACCTTTGGCATCAGCTGCTCTTGGAGAAAGAATACCAGCAAGGTTTCTGGTAACCAGTTTTGTTTTTCATCAGCCTTCTTGCGAAAGGTGGTGAAAAAGCCCTCCAATGAGCTCAGGGAGTGGGAAAAAAAAAAAATCCCTGCAAGACTAAGGAAAGAAATGAGCTATTGAAGTACTATCAAATTTCTCAGGAATTTGAAATGCTTAAATGTTTAATTGCCAAAAACCTGACCAGGGTTTGAGCCTATTGAAAAAGTTAAGGATTAGTATGGCATAATAGCAGGGGAAAACCATTTCTTTCAAATGGTCTGAAATGAAACCCTTCACCTTTCTGTTTTGAAAGAGACTTTGGCAAGAAGCCACAAGGACAGAGATGTAATCTCAGCTCCACCTCTGAGGTATTGTGAGGCTCTCAGCAAATATATTAAACTTATCAGCCTTTTCTTGCCCGTCTGTCAAGCAACTCCAATAAATCTTTTTTATTTGCCTTGAGGTATCCCAAGGGTTTTAATTACAAGCTCAAATATAAAGGACAGTAACAGAGAGTAGCCATACAGCAGATCTATTAATAAGATACATAATATTTTTGCAGGATACTGGTTGCTGGTGCATTCATAGTCTGCCCACCAAGGCCAAGCCTACCGCCCTTTCCAATTAAACGATTAACAAGCATGCAGCTAACAGCCTTGGGGCTGAGCTTCCTATTTTGTAGGCTGTTTATTGTCTTCTCCATGCAAGTCTCATTTTTTGATGTGTTCTACGCAATCAGAGCAGAAAACTTAATGAAAAGATATAGCTATGCTAATTTATTCTTCTAAAAGTTGGGCATCGAAGTCTGAGCTGGTCACTTTAGACTTTCTTGGACTCAACGAAGAGGAGGAAGGCTCCTGGAGAGCAGTATCTCAGACCTGCCTGTCTCTCAGTACAGGCATAGCATCAAAAGTCAGAGGAGCAGAGTCCTGGCCCAGTCAGTCATGGTCTTTAACTGAGGATGGTGTGCAAAGGGCTTTTTATAAAAAAAAAAAGAAGTATTTTGCACTCTTGTACCATAGCAAGAAAATTTGTGTGTCTGGTCCACGCTATGGTTCCCAGCTTCCAAGCAGCGAGCTGCCTTTGGCTGTGGCTCATGGACTCGTACTGTCCTTTGTGAAGGGAGTGACTATGAAAAGAGCAGATACTGCAAAAATAACTTTTAATTTGTTGTTGAGCAGAACGTTCCTTTACAGATTGTTCTTGACAGAGGGAGATACTCTTACGGCCATTTGCTAAACTGTAATTAATGCGAGGAAGGAGGAACTAAACCAAAACAAGAATCCTCACAAAACCCAGCCCACGGGATCCTCCAAGCTGAGTATGCAAGCAAAGTGATTTAAAACCAGTAAAATTCCATAGGATTTCACAAATGTTCAGTGTTATGCATTGTTTTGCATATTTAAACCTGTGAATTGCTGTCAGGCAAGGCAAACCCGAAGAAACCCCCAAATTATTCATCTGCATCCACCAAGTCCCACTTCTGAGATGTGTATAAAGGAGGTGCTCAGGGTTGTAGGAGCAGAGAGGCACCTTTTCTGAGTTGCGTGCTCTGCTGTCCTCCAGCATCCTTTCCTCCATCACGTCTGCCAGCATGAGCCAGCAGCTGTCAGCTGGACAGTCTCTTCATGGAAGAAAGTTCTTTTCATCGTCTTCTGCTGCAAGTGGCATGAGCTGCTGCCGAAGGAACGCTTTCCCCTCTGCTGCACTATTTGGAAGAGGAGCCTGGAGCTACAACAGCCGAAGCCTTCAAAACACAGATGGGTGTAAATGGATTTCTTCTGGCCGAAGCCTTGCACAGGGGGTCTGTGGAAGCTGGAGGTGCAGGGACATCCATGCTAACGGTGAAGGTGGGAGTCATGGGTTGGGCTTCCACAGCAGGAGCTGGAAAAGTGAAGGTATTCGTGCGGTGCGTGTCAATGAGAGCCTGCTGCAACCTCTTGATGTGAAGATCGACCCCGAAATCCAGCACATCTGAAAGCAGGAGAGAGAGCAAATGAAGAGCCTCAATAATCAGTTTGCCTCTTTGATTGACAAGGTGAGAACTGAGACAAGACGTAAAGGAATGATGAGGTTTAAATGCAAAGGAAATGTTTTTGTGCTCTGGTCTTTGATTCCTCTTCTTCTCTCATCCTATGACGTGAGCCTTGTGCTGGTTTTAGCGTGCATGACTCCAGTACCGTAAGCTGCAAGTGCAGATCTAGCTGATGATGTTATTTTAATCTGGTTTATGTGCTTTGATAAGCTGCACCTGTTTTTATTATTAATAGTGGAAGGAAGCTGTTCCTCCAAGGTGTCTTCCTGAACTTCTGCACTGTTGAGTTCTCCCTATGCAGCTACACCTTGTAAAGTTGTATTGCGTACTATCAATAAATGATGGTTTCCACTATCAGCCAACTGATATGCAGATCTATTTAAATATTCCATGGTTTCTGTAGCTGCCACAAAGGCTGTGCTGTCTAGGGCTTCCTTGGAGAATGGGAGAGCAGTATGCCCAGTTTTCTCTAGGATTATAGGATTATGAAGATCACAATGCCTCCCTTTTGTCCTCTCATCCCCTTCAAATCCCAATGAGCCCCTGGAGCATTGACTCAGAAGAGAAAATGCCTTGTTCCCCCCACATTCATCTGGTCCACATACAATGCATCTAAGCATGTGCCTGAAGAAAGTGGCTTTGCTTTCTGAATACAGGTACAGCATCTGGAGCAGCAGAACAGAGTCTTGGCCACCAAATGGGACCTACTCCAAAAGCAGTTCCTGCCATCCCAGGAGAACATCAAGCATGTCTTCAACAACTTCATTTGCAGCCTGCAGAGGCGGCTGCACTCGCTGCTGCACGAGAGGGGACAGATGGAGCCTGAGCTGAACGACACGGAGAAGCTCGTTGAAGAGTTCAGATGCAAGTGAGCGAGCAAGGCAGTGAGCTTAAACTGCTTGTCTAATGGGACTTTTATTTTTGGCTGTATCAGTAGACTTCTTTCTGAGGTCCAAAAAGCTGAGATCCAAAAGCACCCTGACCACTAAATACCCAGACAAACACGGTCTCCAGTCTCAGAATGACCCGGTAACCAGTGTCTTCCCTTGCAGATACAAGCAGGAAGTGAACAGACACACAGCTGCCGAGAACGAGTTTGTGTTACTGAAGAAGGTAAGGAATCTGGATAAATGGAAGGGTTGGATGCAGACATCCAAGGAGCTTCCTCTGATCTGCCCCTTGCAAGGCAAGGGTCAGGTCTGGAGAATGTTGAAAGTCATTGGACAAGTATGGATGCAGAAAAACATGTCACAGAGTGTTGCCAGAGAGCATTAAACCTCTGCTTTTTAGCACAGAAAGTATGTTTCATTCTAAACTGACAGCTTGCTAGGCCTAATGCCCAAATCGTGATGTTTTTCAAGCAAGAGGTCAGCAATATTGTATGTGCTTTTGGGAACCTCCAGCTGTTGCTGTTCAGGGGATATTTCAGCTTCCCAGTCATATTTCCTAAACAAAATTTCTTACTCTAAAAACGTAATGAAATTGCCTTAGGTCTCCCTGTAGGCACCATTTTGACTTCTAAATGTCTGGAAACTCTTTTAGGATGTGGACTGTGTCTATCTGGCCAAGGCAAAGCTGGAAGCAAAGATGGAAACACTAAAGCAGGAGATAGAGTTCCAGAAATGTGTTTCTGCTCAGGTATGGATGCTCCTCTCCCAACCATACTTGATGGCACCTATTCCTACCAGCTGCTCCTTGTCTACATTGATTTAGGCCTGATTAAACCAACCCATCAAGCTCTCTTTGGGAGGCAATGCGAATCCCAGATAAGGAAGCCTTGGAGATCTCAAAAACCCCCAAAATCCCTCAAGCTGCATGTGTGACCAAATCTAATCTCAGGTCCTGGGTTGTGGTTCAGGAGAAACTCTCAGTGGTGGTGTTACTTCCACTGGAGTGTGAGATAAGGAATCCAGGGACAGCTTACTGACACTTCACATGGCTTCTAGGAAATCGCTGAGCTGGAGAGAACTACCCATGACACCTCTGTCGTCGTGAAAATGGACAACAGCCGAGGCCTGGAGATGGAGAGCATCCTCAGGAGCGTTGAGTGCTGGTATGAGGACATGGCTAAGAAAAGCAAGGCAGAGCTGGATGCGTTGTGCAGAACTAGGGTAAGTTGTAGCATCCAGCGACATATCCTTAACTCTCTCACTGTCAACAGTAGTAGTGGAAAGGTGGTGATGTTTTTCTTCTTGTCTTCACTATGCAACTTCTGGACCTAATTTTCCATTCTGCTAAACTGAATGGGGTCTCAAAGTCAGGAGAACATGCCCAGAAGCGATACAGTGCAATGGGACAGGACTCAGTCATGCTGGGAATGGGGAGGTTGTAGGTGAGTTGAACAGTGAAAGCTACAGGAGCTCCATTTGCTGTGGAAAGTCTCAGGAGCTGCAAAATCAGGAGGACTTTTCTAAAGCTAGTTTAATTCACTTTGGAAAGAGAAGAAAGGCTCCTGTGTTACATACACTGCCTGTATTACTTGCCTGTATTAATTGCCACCTCTCTCTTTTCCTACAATCAGTATCAAGAGCTTGAGGAGGCAAAGGGGAGACGTTGCAGCGAACTGAAGTCCCACCAGCAAGAGATTGAAGAGCTGAGTTCTGTGATCCAAAGAAGGCAGTGTGACCTTGCAAATATGAAGAAGCAGGTATGATGGATCATATTTACTCACTGGATCTCCTAGATGTGAGATCCCAAGTCATGTTTTCTACATCTCTGTGGCATTTCTTTCATCTTTATCGAAGAGCATTGCACCACACGGGTTCCATTGGCCTAGAGAAGATCTTACCAGTGCTGAGCAGGGAAGAAGAATTATATGCTGGCCTATTTTCTGCTGGATTATTTTGATTATTGCAAAGACCTAATTGCACCAAATTAGATCATTGGATTAGCCACAGCCACTGGGAAAATTGCTAAAATTGCTCCAGCAAGAATTCTGGCAGGAGACAATGCTTCTGACACAGGTTCAAAGCATCCAGTAAGCAGGGTAGGATTATGACTCAGTAATTCAGCACCCATAGAAACTGGTATAATTTCCAGACCATCTAATTCATTATATATTTTATAACGGGAAGTAATGGAAAACGTTAATTAATAGTTCCAATTAGAACAAAGTATTGGTATCCTCAAAACAGGCTTAAACAGAGTCTGGCAGTACAGGGACATGTCCAGCCTTTCTGTAGTATTTCAGAATTTATATTTGATTTTGGAAACATTTGCCTTTCCTAAAAACAACCTCAAAACTTCCTAATTTGGGACTCTCAAAAGAAGCGAGAATTTCTCTTTCGAGGGTGAGTATGGCAGGGAAAGTGACTCCTTGTGTCTCCCCTGATAGATGTCCTCTCTGCAAACATCAGTTTGTGATACTGAGCAGCGTGGGGACTGTGCCCTCAAAGATGCCCGGGAGAAGCACGTTGAGCTGCAGAATGCCCTCCAGAAGGCCAAGGATGAGCTGGCTTGCATGCTGCGGGATTACCAGGAGCTGCTGAACGTCAAACTGGCACTGGATATTGAGATTGCAACATATAAGACTCTACTGGAGGGTGAAGAGAGCAGGTAGGTACCGCTACAACCGTGTGTGGACAGTGGTCAGTCCTTGGGACTCTTCAACAGAGACAAGGAGGCTGGAAAATGCTAGAAAATGCTAGTTGTGTGATGGATAACCTTGTGACCTTCTTCTCCTTCAGGATACGTCTTGGGATCCCTGTGAGACTGTGTAAGTAAGCTTGAAGTTTTCTATTTTCCTTACAACATTAAACAATCTAGTTTGGGTTTGCAGGGGGAGGAGGAAGGCTGTGTCCTCTCCGTGAGTGATTCAGCTTGTGTTTTCCCATGACAGTGGTCACCACCCCTTGCAACACCATCTCTGGCTGCGAAGCCAACCTGGCATGTGGATCTGGTGGACAGTCTAGAAGATGCAAGTCCTCCTATAGCGTTGGTAGACCATCCCTTCCCGAAGATGCTGGTGCCTGCCACAGAGGATTCACCTCCAGAAGTGTTGCCAGTTCCGTATGCAGGCAGCATGTCCCTGGTGCTCCCAGCAGCATCCGTAGGAGTGAAGAATTTAGGGCTGGAGCTGGGGGCCATTCATGCCAGAGCTCAGCCCCTCTGGGCACTGCTGGATTCTGCTGTAGGACTGCACGGAGGTGTGGAGAGAGCTGCAGAGCTGCAAAGAGCATGGGAAATTCAGATCTCCCACAAGGGATGTGTTGGCCAGGGGTGAGGATTTCAGCTGGATGCCCCAGGAACATCCAGACCTAAACTTCAGCTGTGAGAGTCAGGACAACCAGGATGTAAGACCTAAAGTAGAAAAATGAAAGCCCTGTTCCACTTTCAGTGGCAAAAATATCCTCAACTCCACCTTACACACGAGGAAGAGGCAACTGGGTACAAGCATGTTGTAGCATCATGAAACCACATCAGAGAAACTCCAACTGGGATCACATCAAAAAAACGACACTCCTTTTGATTTCTGCTGTTTCTTTAAAGGGCTGGTGGTTGTGTTGGGGCACTTATTATCACTCAATTCCTGCTTCCCACCACTCTTTTTTTTTTTTCTTCCTGATTAAGCCTTTGCTATCTATGAAACAAGTTATGATACTTAATTCAGAATCCTTTCCCTAGAGTGCTCTGGGAAGTGTTTCTGGAAATGAGCTCTCTAGGACTCACCGTTTCATCAACGTCTAGCTGATGTAATTTTAGGGAAGTCAGTGGAGTTGTAGTGGTGAGACACACGGGGTCATGGAGAGGAGGGGGCAGGGCTCCAGTCATGTTCTTTGTTTGCTGTCTTGGAGCAGTTTGGTCATCCATATGCAGGCAGGCAAGTCATAAAGAAAATCTCAATTAAAAAAATAAATTTCACCTTCTGTAGTCAGCAAAGAGTAATTACGTCGCTTGTACTCCTATTAGCTTCCTTGCTTAGTGTCCTGACATATGCATAAATTACAGCGCCCTCACTTCTGTCTTGATGACTCAAGAGCTTTAAACTTTTTCTCTTTTTCCAATAAAATGCATGGAGAACAAATGTGCTGCTACTTGGTTTTTCGTGTTTGTCAGGAATACAGAAATGCCCTATTCCTAAATCGGGCAAGACATATCTGCTGATTATAATGTATTACCAATTATGCAGAGGTGGCAGGGCTGCCCAGAGAGTGTCATGTAGATCCAGTCTTTGGTTGGTGTAAATTATGGAAGCCTTTTAAAATCGGCTTATTTATACTGATTTGCACCAAATTTGGCTTCTAACCAATGCTGTTCAATGGGTGTTTCAAGATTCATAGAGAAGTCATCTCAGTCTCTCTGTATTTTTATAGCATGTCTACCACAGAGGCATGACGACAAAACACATTTTATATCTCTTCAAAATCTGCTGCAACAGGGTCATTATAGGGAGAAAACCCTCAAGAATGTGCTTGGTTGCTTTTCTTCAGCATCATTTTAGAAATCCTATGACTACCAGTTTAGGATTTCAAAACAGATCAAAGGGAGATATTTTATTGTACATTTGAGCAGATTAAAAAAACCAACAAATTAGTAGCATAAATCAACAACAAAGGACTAAAGTGTTTTGCGATTAAACTGATGAAAGCCAACCAGCAGAACAAGGAAACGAACCATATGGAGACAAGTTACAGATATGTGTTTTACAAAAGGAGGAGTCCAGCGAGAAGGTCTTTCCTATCCAAAGTAATTATTGTGATTCAGAACTGGAAGAGATTTCTCTCCCCCCATAATTCTCATGTGATAGGAAGCTATTTCCCAATCAAATGTGAGGACCACAAAAGAAAATAGGCACAATCTTTAATGAAGAAAACCACAAGAAAGATTTGACAAGAAAAGAACAATTCAGCAGCAATAAATATTCATTAAGAGGGGTTTAAGTATCTCATGAAGGTTATGCTGTTCCCATTGAAAATAGACGATCCTGTCAGTTTTTATGCAAGAGAAGAGTAAGTCAGGGAAATGACACAGAATTAGGGTTGCTTTCTCACCTCCAAACTCACCATTTCAAGATCTGATAAGTTAATTTAACAAAAGCTTTACTTTAAACCTGTGACCAGCCTCTCTGAACATCAGCGCTTCATGAATCAGCCGGGCGTCCCATCAGAAATTCTGCACAAACCAAATCAAACATGGGCTTGGGCACTAGGGCTTTAGCATAACAAAAGGCAGAGCTTATCTCCTCCCGGCTGAATACGCTTCCCAGGAGAACTTGACCCACCTTCCATGGGCAATTTCTTCCTTCTGTACGGCTCGGAGAAGCCCTTCTGCCCAAGAAAACAGCTTCAACGGGAAGGGATAAGAGCTCCTGTAGATTCATAAGGAGGTTGCTGCAACCTAATAACAGCTGCAATATTTTTTTTCCCCTTTTCTAACCTTTTTGCTTTAACAGGCAGTGTGATTCCATCCCATTCAGGGGCCCGGATTCCCATACATCCCACATTCATTTCCACTGTGCAGTTCTGTGGGAGGAAGACATCAACATGAAAAAGATCAAAACAATCCTTTGCTTTGTTGCAAGCCTCAGCTTTACAGGCGCTAATCACCGCACGGAGATATGCTATACGCATACATCAGGAACCGAGCAGATCTGGAGAGCGTGTGATGTTGTGTACTCTCATTAAGACTTCAAAGGTACTAAAGAAATTTGGCGCCCAAAGGGTGGGACTGATTTCACCCAACTTTAACCATCCAGAAGTGGGGCGCCTGGTCTAGTTGTCTGGTTGTCTAGACTGCCTCTGGTAGTCAATAAGAAGAGAGGTAAGTAGCTCCAGAGGTGGATTCCTCCCACCTGCCTTAGCTGCCTATTTTAGGATGCGATGAATCACCGTCTGGAGATGCCTATCTCTTTCCATTAGCCATAGAGGGAGTCTCAAAGATGAAATTAGAATACATGGCTAGTTTGATGGCTCAAGTAGGGAGGAAGGTGCACCCAGGCCCAGTGTTTGATGAATTTTATGAAGAACATCCTTTGAAAATTCCAGCCTCGACTTCTAACATAGAGCAGATGTAGGCTAATGAGAGGAAAAAATACATTACCAGACCGAATTCCCTTGGACAACTGTGGCTTTAAGATACAAGGGAATGAGGCTGCGCTAATAAAATCAGTTCTTTAACATCTCATGAATGACCTGGACAAGAGTCTATACAGTCCAAGAAACCATGTGTATAAAAATACATGTTACGACCCAATCTTACATCTATCCAATGGTGTTAGGACAGGCAGGTTATTGCCATTGTCCTATCTGAATGCAACGAGTTTTCTATGACTGCGGATAATTACAGATATGGAGCACAGCTCTTTGAGACTATCGCATAAAACATATTTGAAGAGCAAGTTCGGATTCATCTCCAAAGGCAACAAACAAATTACTGAACTTCACATGTTCTTATAATGAATTCCATTTTCAGCAGCGCATTCAGGTAGAAGAACGCTGACAAAGGGAGAGATTGCAAGTTGTCAAAATGACTCATCCAACCCCTCATCAAAATATTTTCCTTTTTTGCTTCCTCAGTCCTTCCCCTCCTTTTTTTTTTTTGAGTCAAAAAGATGCAACTTTTGCTTCAGAGTACTCTCCCATTTCCCATGTCCATACTCACGATAACAAATTGTCGAATCTTGAGGTCCTGTGTACCAACAGGTGAAACACTCGTCGTTGCTTGGAAAGACCTAAAAGACATTAAGCGAACCTTCTGCATAGCTGCCTTCTCACTGGGATTCAGGAGCAACAACAGGGATTTGGCTAACACAGAAATTTTACCCAATACTGGACAATTTATGCCCAAAACCTCTTTCCTATCAGGAAGCCAGTGGCTCTGGTGAGGCGTTTTGGAACTGGGGCTGCTGCAGCACGGTTGGTTTGCAGACGTTTAATTGCCATCTGTGCTATGTTCCAGGTGTATCCCACACAGGCGACGTGTATAATGGGGTGTGGAAAGGGAGCAGCGGCACACCAGCCTTCAGTCTGACTTCTGGTCCATGGAGCTCGTAACAATTGGCTTTTGTATTCTTCTTTGGATTCAAATATGCATTTTGCTTCTGATAAATCTTTGTTTGGAACTTGAAGGATCCGGGAAGTTACAGACTTTAGCTCAAACTAATATTTGTTTTAACTGATATTGCCAATTGCATTGGCAACCCAGTATGAACTGTGAGCCTAAAATACTATAAACAAAGGTGTAATCTGAAAGTCATGCCATAAATATGTTGAGTTATCCCACTTGTAGAGGGCAAAAGTATCAGTTTACACAACTAATTTATACCACCAGCCCCTCAAACTCACATAAGTTGCAATTACACGTTCAATTAATAGCCTTGTGAATCTTGGTGCTGTAGTCACGTCCTATGGTTTCGGTGTGCATGTCTGCTTTTCAGGAAGACATGATATTAGAAGGTTTAATGTTTTAAGGAGGTTTAGCACTGTTTTCATGATTTGCACCGCCTGATCCTAACTCTTGGAAAATGTTTTTGGAGGGGGTTAATGAGGATGAGGGAACACTGCTACTGGGTGTCTCCAGATACTGTCATGTTGTATGTACAACATGCAGACTTCTCCAAGT